CATTCTTCTCAGACCTAGAAAAGACAATACAGGATTTCATATGGAAACACAAACGTCCAAGAATAGCCAGAACAATCCTCAGCAAAAAAGCAAAGCAGGTGGTATCACATTACCAGACTTCAAACTTTACTATAAAGCTACAATAATCAAAACAGCCTGGTATTGGTACAGGAACAGGCATACAGATCGATGGAATAGAATTGAGATTCCAGAAGCAAAACCTCAATTTCTCAACCAACTCATCTTCGACAAAGCCTCCACCACCTACCACTGGGGAGAGGAGAACCTATTCAGTAAATGGTGCTGGGAAAACTGGTTGACCACATGCAGAAGATTGAAACAGGATCCCTATCTATCCCCATACACAAAAATTAACTCTAAATGGATCAGAGACCTAAATGTAAAACCTCAAACCATAAGAACCTTAGAAAATGAAGGACATACCCTCATGGAAATTGGAACTGGCATCCAGTTCCTGAACAAAACCCAAAACCCACAGGCCATAAGAGATAAGATAGACAAGTGGAACCTCATTAAACCGACAAGCTTCTGCAAAGCCAAAGAAACCATAAAGAGAGCAGGGAGACAGCCCACAGACTGGGAAAAAGTATTTGCCAACTCCAGGTCTGACAAAGGCTTAACTTCTTGGATCTACAAGGAACTCAAATGTGCTGAAAAGAAAAAAACAAACAACCCCATTATAAAATGGGCAAAAGATATGAACAGACACTTCTCAAAGGAAGACATCCGAGCAGCCAACAGACACATGAAAAAATGTTCAACCTCACTAATCATCAGGGAGATGCAAATCAAAATCACACTGAGATACCACCTAACTCCAGTCAGAATGGCAATTATCAATAACTCAAAAAATAACAGTTGCTGGAGAGGGTGTGGTGAAAAGGGAACACTTCTACACTGTTGGTGGGAGTGCAAACTAGTGCAACCTCTGTGGAAAGCAGTGTGGCGATTCCTAAAAGCTCTAAATATTGACCTCCCATATGACCCCGCAATCCCCCTACTGGGAATATACCCTGAAGAACCAAATCACTCTATAAAAAAGATACCTGCACATGTATGCTTATCGCAGCATTGTTCACAATAGCAAGAACCTGGAAGCAACCATGCTGTCCATCAAAAGAAGACTGGATTAAAAAAATGTGGTGCATATACATGATGGAATACTACGCAGCCATAAAAAAGAATAAAATCATGAATTTCGCAGCAACCTGGATGGAACTAGAGTCTATAATACTGAGTGATCTCTCACAGAAACAAAGATCTGAGTATCACATGTTCTCACTCATACAGTGGACCTTGAACATCCAATATAATACTATAAGAAAGTGACTGACAGTGGTGGGAAACTATTGGGGGAGGAGGGGAAGGGAGATGGGATTAACGGTAGTATATCTGTCTGGGGACGGGGAGACGCCTCTTATCAACAACGATGCCTGAACGAAGCATATTTGTATACCTAACCCTTAACTGTACCCCACAATATCATAATAAAAAATATTGATTAAAAATAAAATAAATAAAAATAAAAATAAATAAAATAAAGGTCTTTCACTTCTTGGTTAGAAAGATGCCAAGGTATTTCACTCTTTGGTAGCACAATGGGATTGTGCTTTTTATTGGGTTTCTATTTACCATTGGTGTACAGGAATGCCACTGTCTTTTGCACATTGATTTTATATCCTGAGACTTTGCCAAAGTTTTTAGCAGTGCAAGGAGGTTTTTGACAGATTCTCCTGGGTTTTCAATGTATAGAATCATGTCATCCACAAAGGGGGATAACTTAACTTCTTCTCTTCCTACTAGGATGCCCTGATTTTCTTCTCTTGTCTGATTGCTCTAGTTAGGACTTGTTGAGCAGGAGGGGTGAGAGTTGGCATCCTTGTCTTTTTCCCAGTTTTCAGGAAGAATGGCTCCAATTTCCGTCTGTTTAGCAGTATGTTGGCTGTGAGTTTCTCGTAGATGGCTCTTACTATTTTGGAGTATGTGACACCTATGCCTAGATGTTTGAGGGTTTTTATCAAGAAGCGGTGCTGGATTTTATCTAAAGCCTTTTCCATGTCCAATGACATAATCACGTGGTTTTTCTCTTTACATGTGTTGATGTACTTAATTATGTTTATGGTCTTGCAGATGTTGAACCAGCGCTGTATCCCAGGGATGAAGCCTACTTGGGTCATGGTGAGTGATGAAATGTACATTTTTAAGATTATGTGTTTTGTCTATCAAACTGAAAAAGACCTCTGAAAATAATAATATTCTGAGTTGTCTAGAATTTGTGTCAGGTGGCATACTTCATAATTTGCTGATATTTATCTCTGGTTGGTGGCACTGAAAGTTATTTACTTTCTTCTTTTGGGGGTATTTATGTTTTTTAAATATGTCATAAAAATATGCACTTATTTTTAAATAAGAAAAAATTAATCAGGGATTAATAGACAAAGCATCAGAAAATTTTATATTGATCAAACAAAATTCTCAGGGGAAAAAAAGTAAAATCAGCATTTAACCTGGAGACGCTAAATGTCAAAGAATGCCTTGCACGATAATAAGCCTGCAACTCAAGTTAATGAGGAGCTGACAGTTTTTACTTCCTCCATCAGACTGTTGTCTCCTTATGAAAGATACACAAAGGCATGCAGTTTTATTTGGCAAGGACTCTAAATGCCAATTACTCATTTTATTTCAAAATAAAACTGAAGGGTTAAAAAGAGTACTAACTGGTTATAGTAAAACACATAAAAGATTAGAAAATTCATTTGGAATTTTCTTTTTTAGAAAGATCTCTTTCTGGATAATAATTTTAAGAGACCAGACTCTGCCCAAAGAAACACATTATATACATGTATTTATTGTTTACAAAAACAAGGCAAGCACATGTTGAATCCTGGAAAAAAATCTTATAGACAACCCATGCAGTCATCATTGGAACAAGTAGTTTATAGTATCAAAAAAAGGGAATATTTGCTAAATTTACAAAAGATGATTTATCACATTTTGACAAATTCTAGTAAGTCATAAATAAAAAATCAGTTGCTGCAAGGTGAATATAAACAGATTCACAAAAAAGTAATAGACATACTTTATTAAGGTACAATGCCTTTCACCATCCAGATGGCTATAAGGTTTAAATAAGGTGAAGTTATATGGAAAGCCTTTTGTAGACTTTAAAGTTTTACGATAGTCTTAACATACTTAACTCTTGTCTTCAAACAAACTTTTTAAAAAACTTTTCAACACAGTATATTTCTAAACAATTGTAAGCTTTTCTATTCTCAAATTCTCTAAGAAAGGAGTTTCTAATTATTTTTCTGTGTAGTTCTGCTTGAATAAATACAACTTTTAGCTTCTACGATTCTATTAACTTGCAGGAAAACTGTAACTCTGATTTTACTGCTAAGAAATATTTTGACATAAACCTTTTCCCAATTAAAACTTGGTTCATCAACCAAGTTCAACTAACTTATTATTAGTTAAACAGTTAATTTAACTAACAGTAAGATCATGACAGTCTGCCCCAGACGGTCCCCCAAAAGGGCTAACTCCATGTTCTCTCTACCATGCATCTATTTGGTAGAAAACTCCTCTTCTTTTTATTTATATTCTCAGATACCTTATTTAAAGTAGGCTTAATTAATTTTTAAAATAGGAAAAAGTAGAAAGTCTTGACATCTATGTATTTTTACTTCTTGTCTAATACCTAATATTCAAAATATCAGGTTTCAATTTATACAAAATACTTATTTCTCACTATGTATCTAACATGCAGGGAGAGAAAATAATATCTTTATTAACTAATACTACTAAAATTATCATGAATGCTAAAAATAATAGTATTTATTAAAAATATTAACATTTATTAACATAAATTGATTAAAAAATGAAATTTTTAAAACTGCATGTAATGCTTATTTTTTTATAATTCAGCAAATTTTCAACACATCTTGACTTATTTTCATTGTGTTATTTCTTTGATGACATTCCCCAGGTCAACAGAAAACAGTATTGGACAAAAAGCTTGGCAACTCTGGTTTTAGAGGCTACCTTTTGAATCTGGCAAGGTTACTATAATCAAACACTAGTATGGCAGCTGTTGATAAAAATCACCTTAGCTAGATATCTTTTACCGAACTTTTACATTAAATTTAATAATTATCAGTTTCCTAACCATTAAATTGAATTTTAAAAATATATGCATATACCTATAATAAGACTTATGACATCTAAGTGTCTGAATGTGTTTGAGTATAAAATATATACGCCTCCCATGTCTGTTTTCTTTGGGCAGGATAGGTCCTCAATTTTTTAAAAAGAAATACCTACACAGGTCACACCACTGCGATACAAGGAGTTTTTGTTTTTAGACTAGAGTGAAGTGGCACAATCACAGACCTCTGCAGAACACAAGGGTTTCTGTGGTGCTTTGGGTCAAGCCAGGTTTTCCTCACAGCACCCTCTTCTTCACAGGTTGATGGCAGTGTCTTGGACCCCTGTCCCCCAGCAGTGCTCAGCCCAATGTAAGGCTTCTGCCTCAGTTTCTTGGAACCCAGGCTATCTGCACACACATTCTTCTATTTCCTACCTTTCTTTACAAAAATCAAGCATGTCTACTAAAATTATCCCAGCTACACCCAGCAACAGGAATACTGAAGTAAATTTTAAAAGACACAGAAATTCAAAATGAAGGAGTCTGGGGAGTAGCATGTAAGAGTATAGTGACAATGGGGTCAAGGTTTTAGAACTGGTTGCCACATTTACCAGTATGCTATTTAATAATAAAATTTTTTAAAAAAAGAAACTGTCCAGACAAGCCTGGTCAGAATCTTACATATATATACCACACAAAGGATAACACAAGTAGGTGTGGTGGTTTCAGCATAACAAATAAATACTTAATAGAAGTGGAAGTCATGGGAGATAGATTTCAGATCAATATAAGGAAAAACTAAGGATTAGAGCTGTACGAAAAAGGAATGGGTTACCTTATGAGGTAGTGGGCTCCCTGTCATTAGAAGTATTCAAGAATGCTGCATATCATATCCCCCTCTTGGAGATTCACAATGCACATTAGCATATTAAAGGTTCTGAGAAGTCCTGCAGTAAAGAAACCTGTTTAACTTTATTTAATGCAGCATTTCCCAAATTATTTGACCACAGAACCCTTTTCCCACCCGCCCCACCTCAATATTTATTCAGTTTCTATGGAACTAGAACTCCTCAGAATATGTTTTAGAAAATAATAAGCTGTATTTTTAAAAATGAATTATTCAATATGTATCTGAATAACAACCTGTCAAAGATATAGAAGAAATTGTCACATGGGGTAAAATGTTGGAAGAAAAGACCCTTAAGGTCCCTTCTCTACGATTCTATCACATATGTAAATAATGGGCTATAGGATCTTGATTTATTCTAAAAGGTTTCATGAGTGAAAGACAAGTAGAATGTAAAGGTAGTAAGATGCAAGGTTAAGCAGTTCAAATGCCTCCCTTCCATGTTCAAAGCCCAGTCCCTAAAAGGAAGAGGGAGACCACAAAGACCATAAAATATCAAAAAGAAGCTTTAGCCAAATATCACTGTAACTACTCCACCCACTAAGTTAATTACTATTTGAGAGAATTAAAAAAGAAAAAAGGAGTAGCCTTGCATGAGGGAACTACCCTATTCTAGCTATCTTGTTTGAGTTTCATTTTTGTTATAATATACACTCTCCAAAGAAAGTTATTATTTGTTCAATGGCTAGTCACTGGAGTGACCTGTGCAATCCGTGATCTTGAATTAGACATTAAAGAAATGATTAAGTATGATGCTTTATAAGCCATTAAAAATCTATTAAAGTAGGTATTAGGGGAAAAAAAGGGTGGCTTATATGCCTCATACTATTATCTCCCCCTCCCCCCGCCTCTCTCTCTCTCTATCTCTCTCTCTCTCTGTTTGCCTGAGCCCGCGGGTTCGAGACCCACCTGGGCAGAAAGACCTCATCTCTACAATAAATCAAAAAAATCAGCCGGGCGTGGTAGCGCATGCCTGTAATTCCGGCTACCCAGAAGGCTGAGGCGGAAGGACTGCCGGAGCCCAGCAGGTCGAGGCTGCGGTGGCCAGGAGTGGCCACTGCACTCCAGTCTGGACGACAGAGTGAAACTCCAACTCAAAAAAAAAAAAGAATTATACAAGCCGGGCTCGGTGGCTCAGCCTGTAATCCCGCGTCATTGGGAGGCTTAGGTGAGTGGATTGCCTGAGCCCGCGGGTCCAAGACTCGACTGGGCAGGCGAGACCTCATCTCTACAATAAATTTTTTAAAAAATTAATAAGCTGGGTGTGGTAGCGCATGCCTGTAATTCCGGCTACTTGGAAGGCTGAGGTGGAAGGATAACCTGAGCACAGCAGGTCGAGGCTGTGGTGGCTGGGAGTGGCCACTGCATTCCAGTCTGGGCGACAAAGTGAGACTCCAACTCAAAAAAAAAAAAAAAAAGAATTATACAAGCCAGGCTCTGTGGCTCAGCCTGTAATCCCGCGCCTCGGGAGGCTGAGGTGAGTGGACTGCCTGAGCCCACGGGTTCTAGACCCGCCTGGACAACTTGGTGAGACCTCATCTCTACAATAAATCAAAAAATTAGCCGGGTATGGTAGGGCATGCCTGTAGTTCCAGCTACTTGGAAGGCTGAGGAGGAAGGATCGCCGGAGCCCAGCAGGTCGAGGCTGCAGTGGCTACTGCACTCCAGTCTTGGCGACAGAGTGAGACTCCAACTCAAAAAAAAAAAAAAAAAGAATTATACAAAACAAGGCAGGGTACCATGGCTCACACCTGTAATCCCAGCACTTTGGGAGGCCAAGGCAGGAGGACTGCTTGAGCCCATGAGTTCAAGATCAGCTTAAGCAACATAGCAAGACCTTATCTCTATAAAGAATTTTTTAAAAATTAGCCGGGCATTATGGTACATGCCTGTAGTCCCCACTACTTCGGAGGCTGAGGGGGAAGGATCACTTGAGCCCAGAAGGTCAAGGCTATAGTGAGCCATGATCATGCCACTGCACTCCAGCATGGGTGACAAAGTAAAACCCTGATTCAAAACAAAAAAAGAATTACATCAAACAATACACTAAAAGTCTAGTATTAGACATGAGGCCATCTAATAGTAAGTTTAAGACTAGAAACACTTAACAGTCCCAAAGTTCAAAGTCAAGGTTCTCACAGTTACACTAACCTAGCCATTTTACACATATGCTAAGGCCATCAAATATAACAGCATATTAAGTAATACAAAACCCAATGAGAATCTTAACCTTTTAAAAATAATTTATGTTTTGCTTTGTTGGGGTTTGTTTGCTTTGTTTTGTTTTAAAAGATGAGGTCTCATATGTTGCCCAGGCTGGACTTGAACTCCTGGGCTCAAGCAATCCTCCCACCTCAGCCTCCTGAGTAGCTGGGACTATAGGCGTGCACCATCGTGCACAGCTGGGAATCTTAACTTTTGAATTTCCTCACGTTTCAATTCTTAGCCCTAGCCGTTGCATTAGGGACATTTTGGTAAAGAAGATCTTTACATTTACATTTACATTAGGTTGTTGAAGGGAGGAGCATGCAAGCCTAACTGTATTATTAGACACAAAAATTCATTTGTGATATAGCTATGTGAAATTATACAAAAATTCATTTCCACTCAGTACAAACAGCAAAACCTCATTTCTGACAGACAGATTTTTGTAACAACAACAACAAAAATCACAATATTTGGATTATTATCCAGCTAACATCAGACATACTATGTCTGCCTAATAAAAGTACTCACCAATTTTGGGGAAACTTGTTCTCCTTCAGCTGTCTAGCCCCCTATAACAGAAAAAGGGGAAAATAGAATTAGACTCCAAACACAAGTTTATGTCATCGAAAGCTGAAGACACAAGATTTCTATCTGACTTTAAGCAGAAAAAAAACAAAACACACAGAAGTTTCCAAAGTTTTAAAACCCAAAAGAAAAAGAGAAAAAGTAATTTTTGTAGCAAAGAAAGAATCAATAGCAGTTAAATCACTATTTTTTCACAGTTTTTCAAGACAAGGAAAAGTAAGTAGTTGAAGGTTTTCCTTTCTTACGAGACACACAGAAATGAAATGCACCTTATCTAAATAACACACAACTACACCCTCATCCCCACAAGTGACTTCCACTGTTGGCTGCTTTTTAGTAACAAATTAAGCTAACATCCTCAGTGCTTAGTTTGGTCCACTTAAAAGGCATTTTTTTCAATTAATCTTGAAATGAATTTGTCCTGTGTAAGGCTTTAAAATCTGCAGCATTTTATAATAAAATACAGTTAGAATTTTAATCAAACTTTTCATTCACATACCTTTCAGTGATCTGTTTTATGCCACATGTCTAATCAGTGATAAAGCCAGAAAGAAAGCTAAGGTTTTGGGATCCCAATCCAATATTAGAAAACAAAAATTCAAACTTTTCCCTAGCCAGGCGGCGATGGCTCAAGTCTGTAATCCCTGCACTTTGGGAGGCTGAGGCAAGAAGATTGCCTGAGTCCAGAGGTTCGAGACCAGCCTGGGCAACTTGGTGAGACCTTATTTCTACAATAAATCAAAAAATTAGCCAGGCGTGGTGGCAGGTGCCTGTTGTTCCAACTACTTGGAAGGTTGAGGTGGAAGGATCGCCTGAGTCCAGCAGGTCAAGGCTGCGCACTCCAGTTTGGGCAACAGAATGAGACTCCAACTCAAAAAAAAATAACAACAAAAAAAAAACCCTTTCCCTTAATAGTTTCATATTAAATTATTTAAACTCCACCTGCCATGCTCTAAAACTATAAGTGTCTTCCTTATGCCTTAAATATAGTATGTCTGTTAACTGATATGACTCCAATAGTGTCTCATTTCCTCAGGGAATATTTCAAAAGATCTTCATGTCTCCCAAATTATAAATCTCTGTTTAATCACTTACAGACATACCAAATATACACTAAAATTAAAAGGGTCCTAGTTCATGTAGTTAGCATTTACTTCCAAAAGAAATTCAATTTACTATTCAGGTCTGCCTTTTCTTTAGCAGTCTTTTAAAAGTTCTCAGGTCCATCCAAATAACAATTTAATCACCAAGATTAGAATGACTCCCAACCAAAAGAAAAATCATGTAACAATCTACAGAACAATGCAGTTATTAAAAGTGGGGTTTTAGCCGGGCTCGGTGGCTCAGCCTGTAATCCCGCGCCTTTGGGAGGATGAGGTGAGTGGATTGCCTGAGCCCGCGGGTTCGAGACCCGCCTGGGCAGCGAGACCTCATCTCTGCAATAAATCAGAAAATCATCCAGGCGTGGTAGCGCATGCGTGTAATTCTGGGTACTTGGAAGGCTGAGGCAGAAGGATCGCGGAGCCCAGCAGGACGAGGCTGCAGATGGCCGGGAGTATGATGAGTCCTCTGCCTGTGAGCTTATTGATATACTCTATTCAGAGCTTTTTAAGGGTTCCTGACCCATGTGTAATATAATTTGTTTTT